CAGGCAGGGGTCAAGGCATTAAGGGAGGGCACTCCAAGGGGGCGGGCACAGATGCGATGGGAGGAGGTATGGGGCTGTGGGGCGGGGGTAGAACACAGAACGCCGCTGGAGAACTGGGAGAGGGCTGCGTCCCCCAGTGTCCACCTTCAGTCATATGAGATTTCCTGAGCGACTGGCTATACCCCACAGCCAAGGCTGTTCACAGTAGAGGGGTTTGTGGGGACCCACAAGAGGATGCGCGATGGCATATACTAAACCTAGCATGCTCAGGGAGCCTGGCATGGCATGGTAAATCCTATAAACTCAGAGGCCAAAAGTAACCATATAGGATAGTTTGAAGTTAAAACTTTCTAAGTAAAAATGAATCACAGGGGTAGTTATATCCTAGCCTTGTTTTTGGCTTTTGTTTTGTTTGTTTTGTTTTTGTTTATTTTTGCAAAGGTCAATTTTTACCTTATTGAGCCTGTGTATTGTATTTTGGGGGGGGGGGCTGCGCAAAAACGTGCTTTATTGTCACAATAAAAATGAGTGAGATGGGGAAAAAGAAAAAGAAAAGATTACCACCCAAGCCTCAGAGCTCTACCAGGCACAGGGGCCCCCAGATCTCAGCCTACTCGACCAGAGTCCTTCCAAAGCAACCAGGAAACCCCATGCAGCAGGCAGGGGTCAAGGCATTAAGGGAGGGTACTCCAAGGGGGCGGGCACAGATGCGATGAGAGGAGGTATGGGGGGGCGGATAGAACACAGAACACCGCTGGAGAACTGGGAGAGGGCTGCGTCCCCCAGTGTCCACCTTCAGTCATATGAGATTTCCTGAGCGACTGGCTATACCCCACAGCCAAGGCTGTTCACAGTAGAGGGGTTTGTGGGGACCCACAAGAGGATGCGGTGCTCACTGGCTGGGCAGGAGGGCATCCGAGAAGACTTCCTGGAGGAGGCTGGAATTCCAGTGGGCTGGAGCCGCAGAGAGGGGTGTGGAAGGTGCCTTTGGCAGGGGCACAGCTTGGGCCAAGAGAATGTATAAGGTAGGAGAGGTGCTGCCCGATTTCCTCTCCTCTGCCCTCTGTCTTCTCTTCACACGCTATCCGTAGCTGCCCAAGCTGGCACAGTGGTTCCTGCGGCATGGCCTCAGGGTCACACAGTACAACCTGATTGGCTGGGTTGGGGCGACAATGTCCTACCTAGTTCAGTGTCAGGGAGTGGGGCTCCCTCAGGACTGTCCATGGCAGTGGGCATCAGCTGGTCAGGCCAGTGTTTCACTGTCCACCCTAGGAACCCAGAACCTCCCGAAGATGTCCCCCACCCAGCCTGCTCCTTCAGCCAGCATCTTCGCTCCCCTCGGTCATGGCTCCACCTCCTCCAACCCAGACTACCTGAAGGAGGAGGACAGAAAGACACAGATTGCAGACCGAACACAGCCCTCACCTCAGCACTCACGGGCTCGCCTATCTGCTCAGTGTCTGGCTGATGCATCTTCCCACATCTGCCAGGACTTACCCCCAAGTCAAAGACCTTCTCCCCCGCATCCAGGAACTGCTAGGGCTCCAGGAAAGTGCTCTGAGCAGCCCTTTCGTCCCTTGAGGGCAGGGCAGACCGAGGGCCGGGCGGACCCAGGGCCCCTCGTCCCCACCCGCAGACACCCTTCCGGTCATGTACTGATGTATCAAGTGCCTACCTGTCTATTGTATTTTTGCATCTGGGATAACATATACTTGGATTTTCAGGGAAATTTCCGTTTTACAGACTCCTTAGGGCATAGTCTCCCAGCACAGGAGACCACACAGCCCCAATTATTATTGTTATTGTGTTAAATATTAAGGGTTAACTATTCTATAACATTTAAAAAGAAGTTTGTGTCTATTTTTACTTTTTATCCAGTCCCAGAGATTTCCCTCCTTAACTCTCCCCCCTAATTTATCACCAGTGAATTTAATGTAACCCCCTTATGTCTTCTCCTTTGAGTCTAATGTATAAAAAAGGTGCAAAACTGCCATTCTCCCACCTCAATGTGTGTGTGTGTTTTGATTTTGTTTGTTTGTTTGTTTGTTTGTTTGTTTTTCTTCCTGGCAATGTTGCAGGCTTGGGTCAAATAAACTGAGAAAAATTCTCCACAGGTTTGGACACTTCTTACAACAACACTAAAAGCAATAGATTTATGTGATGCAGGAGGAAGTTACATGGAGGGATTTCAGCATTTCCAGGGAAACCACTGACAGAAGATAGATTTATAAACACAAATTTAGAGCAGATGCAGAACCCAGCAAGCTAGAGCTTTCCCATTGCTTTCAGAGAACAAGAACAACAACAAAAATGCTCAAATCTCAGGTGACTTTCATTTTATTGTTTGTGTGTGTGTGCATAATCCACAGGGAAGGATGTTCTTTCTTTCTTTTTTTTTTTTTTTTACCTTTCCACACCTTCCCTTCTGAGATTCTGCATTCCATTCCATGCTTCCATGTCCCTGAATTCACTCCATTCAACAGGATTTTTTTTTTGTTAATTAGATTACATGTATGAGTGAGATGAAGTGATACTTCTCATTCTCTGACTGACTTATTTCACTTAGAAGGACGCTCTCCAGGTCCCTACATGCTGTGTGAAAGGAGAAGAGAGTCTTCATTTTTACTGCTGCATAGAATTCCATGGTATCAATGTACCATAGTTTTTTATCCAATCATCTACTGATGGGTACTTGGGCAGTTTCCAGATCTTTGCTATTGTAAATTGTGCTGCTATGAACATAGTTGTACATTACTGATGTTCTGTTTGTGAACGGTGACTCTGAGGTGATCTCGGCGTGCAGGATGAGTTTAGAGAAGCAGAGGGCTACCGCTTGCTCAGGCGAGTAGCAAAGCCCCCAAAGCTCTCATGGCTTTTATTTGGGGAGTACAGCAACTAACAATGGAGTACAGCAAGTGACAATGATTAACAAGCATGCTTATGAGATCATCTGAGCTAAGTTATACATTAAACTATTAATTTCCTATGTTA